TGACATAAGAGGTCTCATGTTTCAAAACAAGAGCCGAAAACTTCAATATAATTATTTGAATTAAATTGAATTAAAGTAAGCTCTGTTCCATCTTCAAGCGAAATTTTTTTTTGAATAACTTATTTCTGAAATTTACGTGTTTTAATAGTATATTCATAATTGAAATCAAAATTTCCATGGTAACAGCCAGGGCGAATTGTTTAAAATAGGTAGGGGAGGTGTTAAAAATTTATAAATATATATATATATATATATATATATATATATAAATTTATTCACTCTACACCTTTCTGACAATAGCTCAATTAGATCTCATTTAAATATTCATGGAGACCTACCGGACACTATTCGTAACATACTTGTTGACAACACTAATATAATAGCATCATCTACATGCAAAAAAAGGATAAAAATAATGGAAGCCTTATTAATAAAAACAAAAAAATACCCAACACTTAATAATATTAACTTTGAACATGGACATAATATCTTGACTGTATTTTGAAAAAAATGAAAACATTTAAAACATACATACAACAAACTATTTCTTATTTTAACAGTTAAAATATAATCTGTGAAAATGTCTAAATGTATAGCTGAAAGCACTCAGATAAAAAGATCGTTGAACAGTTTTTATATAATTTATCATCTGAAAAGAAAAAAAAGATTATTAGATTGCATGAGAAATTTTACAAAAAAAAAACTAAATAAAACCACCTTGTCTGTCGTTTTTAATGAAATGTGCATGAAAGAAGGATTGCTGCCTAAATACACAAATATATATATATATATATATATATATATATATATATATATATATAGAGAGAGAGAGAGAGAGAGAGTTAGGGTGATCACCATGGTTGATTTGTTAGGATGGTGACCTTGATCTTATCAGCCTGAGGAGGCAATTCCAACATGAGACACCTTTGAAAAGTGCCTGAAAACCATATTATGCATTGATTCAAGCCTTATGAGTGAAATTGTTTGTTGATGGTTGTGCTAATTTACAATAGATAATCAAAAGTAAAGATCAGTACAGGTTCCAAAGTAAGAGACATTTTAACAGCATTCTGACCCCTATATAGATACACTGGATATTCTGCTTAGTCATTAACACAGGCCCTTACACTTTTCTGTCTGGAATTGTACAGATGTTGAATACCATCTTCATGCAATTCCATATCTCTTTTATCTGTTGATGCAGTACAGTAAGTGTTACAGGTGGGCTAACTAAATGAGTCAGGTATTGCCCTATCATGTCCCATATTAAATGGGGGACAGGTCTAGCAAATTATTATTCAGATATCATTCATATGTTATTCTCATCAATAAATTTATTTTTACGTTTTTTTTTTATAATATACATTTTATTATAATTTTTTTAATATACATTTTTTGATTTTTTACAGACTTTGAGAAAATGTGCCTCAGAACATGAAAAAGAAGAATTTTTAAAAGAGGCTCTGCTCATGAGTAATTTCAAACATCAGCACATCTTGCAACTGCTCGGAGTCTGTTTGGATGGCAATCCACAATTTATTGTCTCAGAATTAATGGAAGGCGGAGATTTATTACTGTTCTTAAGACATTACAGACCATCATGTGTAAGTAGCTTAATTTGTCACCTTTTAAATAAATTCTCTTTTTTGATTTGAAAAATCAGACAGTCTTTCTTTGGATTAATATTTCAATTCAGAATGCTTAAGGAAAATGAGAAACTTAGAAAACATTTTCTAGTTTATCAGCTGTTAAGAGATTCCAATTGTTAAATCCCTAGAGTCCTTGAAAAATTGATAAAAAATCTAAATATTTGATGTTAATGCAATTAAATTGAAATTGTTAAATTAAAACTGTTGAAAATTAAGTATTGCAACTTGATTTTATATGAAATTAAATTGACTTCTCTTTCAAATGATACCAAATTTCGTCTCCTTAGTATGACTTATTATGGGATATGCTTTTGGAAATCTACAACTTTTAAAAAATTGTACATTTCTATAGCCTCTGTTGATCATGTGATGTGTTAATGTTGCGTATTAAAATACAATGCTACCCAATTGTGTGTACATTCAGTTGTTCCCACTCACAAACTAAGCATGCCAATCTTTCTAGTGCATTTGGGTGCTTCTAGACTTAAAGGGTTAAGATTTTTGAAATCACACACACACACACACACACACACACACACCTTTCTCTCTGCCAGGCACTGATAGCCTAGGGGTTAGAATCTCCAACTGATGCCAAATTGGTTGGGTTTCAGTCCTGGCTTGAAGCCACACTGATGAGCTGTGATACAGCAAAACAGTCTGTCTGTGGATGATGATATTAGCTCCCAGAAAAAAATTAATTCAGTCAAGCACTGTGGGGAGAAAGCACTAATTTGTAAACAGTGACTATTACTGCTAATAATGCAAGACTCACAACAGATTAATTCCTCTAGGTCACTGGTGTATTTATGAAAAATAAATATGCAAAAATTTGCCTTTCTCTCTGCCGAGCACCAATAGCCTAGGGGTTAGAATCTCTGACTGATACCAAATCAGTTGGGTTTCAGTCCTGGCTTATATATATATATATATATATATATATATATATATATATATATATATATATATATATATATCTCACTGAGATGAGGTATTATGATTACTTGCACTATTTACATTACTTGGAACATTATCCCATATTCTTGGAACATTATGCCATATTCATTTCATTGTCATTGAATATGTCACTGAAGATGAGGATAACAGTTTGAGTAATGTAAATAATGCAAAATAATATATATATATATATATATATATATATATATATATATGATAAATATTAGGGGTCCTCTGAGAATCCTCAAAGAATTGCCTTAAAATTGAAGGTTGCATACCTTTTCCAAAACTAATTTTACTAGCTCACTTTAGGTTAGAGGGACTTTCTCTTCCAAATAATAATAATAAAACTAAAGCATAAAGTTTCCTTAATATTTTAGTTCCTTTTTACTAATCTAACTTGCTGCCTAATGGTAATCTAAGGGCTGGAGATTTTTAAAAATTTTCTCTAAAATATTGGACATCATGCACGAATGGATTAAATAGCTTCAGTTTCTTAGCTTTGTAGAAGTTAATTAAACCAAAGAAAGTGTGAAACTTATTGATTATTAAATTCAGAGGGTATCCCCAAGATTTTGGCCTGTAGTGTATATATATAAAAGTTATATTTAGACAATAAGAATTCATTGAAACATGTTTTGTTAAATTCAACTGATAAGGTCTTCTTGCATAATTTTTTTATTGTATTTTCCAATTTTCAAATCAGATGTTGTACATTAGGATCAAAATTGTGGATAAACTATAAAAAAATAATTTAAGTAATTTTGCAGTTGCGTTTGCTACATTTTTTTGCATGAGTAATCTAGAATTTTTATCAATACAATTAATGCTATTGTTGCACGTAAGAAAAAATCTGCTTTTAAAATCATTTGAATTAAAAAATATCCAAAGATAGCTAACATAAAACAAAAGAAATAAAAAGCAATGTATGTGCAGCCTGATCTCCCTTACTTAATAATGAGATAACATTAAGTATATTGGCTTATTAGCATTGAGTTTTACAGCCTGTTGCAATAAAACAAAATATTTCATTAATGTATAGGGGCAATCAGGTTGTGTAACTGATAAATAGGTACATTGTATGTTATAAAATAGTTGTTAACCTTACTTAATTTTATAAATTCATCCATTATTATTTTAATGAATTCATCCATTATTATTTTTAATGAATTCATAAATTATTATTTTTAATGAATTCATCTATTATTATTTTTAATGAATTCTCCCATTATTATTTTAATGAATTCATCCATTAATATTTTAATGAATTCATCCATTATTATTTTAATGAATTTATCCATTATTATTTTTAATAAATTCATTCATTATTATTTTAACAAATTCATACTTTAATATTTTTAATGAATTTATCCATTATTTTTTAACAAATTCATCCATTATTATTTTTAATGAATTAAAATATATATATATATATATATATATATATATATATAAACGGCAAGTATTCATCCCAAAAAATTTGATTAAAAAGAACTGACATTAAATTCTTATATGTTCTACTATAAACACCTTATTTGAAAATTGGAAAAATACAATGAAAAATTAGACAGACCTTGTTAGTTCCTTTTTAATCAAACTGGTTTGTTTATGTGTATGTGTCTAAAAATTAAGTTATAAATAAAAATATATCTGTAAAATGACAGTATGAATAAAGACAAGAGGAAAAACTGTTCATTATAAACAGAAGTAAAAATATGCTTAGGTTTTCATATATATTTTTATAAATACATATTGCAAAATAAAATTCTTACATTCACCTTGATAAAGTCCATCAGAGGTCAAAATGTGTCAGTAAAGAATAGTTTTTCCTTTAGTCTTTATTCATATATATATATATATATATATATATATATATATATATATATATATAGTTATGAAGAACTTGGTAATCCGTATGAGAGAGATATGAACTTAATCCCTCCCTAGACTCTACCATGTCTCTTTATGTATTCTTTTTAAATTACAAAAACTTACAAAACTACACCATCAATTTTAATTTCATTTTTATTTCATTTCATTTTTGGAAGTGCTATCTGATGATCCGGCATCCTTTAAAAGGTGAAATAAATTATTATAATGGTACCTTAAAGTGGTCTGTTTTTCTTTTATATATATATATATATATATATATATATATATATATATATATATATATATATATATAGCATGATCATAAAGGATCTTTATTACATTTTCTCCATCTTGTTTCAGATAGTTTGTGATAATGATATAATTTTTTTTTTCATGGGTAAATCACAACTTTTTAAAAATGTTAGATTTTAAATCTTTGTGTTCTACTCAAACTGAGGCCAATTTTTCACATTCTCTTCTCATATATTTCCATTTATTCTTATATATTTTTCAATAGCGGCCTAACAATCACTTGCAGACAAACCAAACATCCCTAACGTTGCTTGACTTAATGAAAATCTGCGTTCATGTATCACGAGGATGTAAATACTTGGAAGAAATGCATTTTGTTCATCGGGACTTGGCAGCACGAAACTGCCTGGTTTCTTCCAAGAATCCTCATGATATGATTGTGAAAATAGGAGACTTTGGTCTTGCTAGAGATATTTACAAAAATGATTATTACCGTAAAGAAGGAGAAGGACTTTTGCCAGTGAGGTGGATGTCTCCTGAATCCTTGGTAGATGGAGTTTTCACAACGCAGTCGGACATCTGGTAAGTAAATCTTGATTTAAACACACCAGAAATAAATCTGGAATATTTTAAGATATTAATAGACTATATCTGTATCCTTATCTATCTATCTATCTATATACCTATCTGTCTATTTTTTTTTTAATTCTAATAATTTTTTTGGAGATAATAATGATTTAGTGAAACAAGTCTTACTAATTGACCCAGAGCTGGTGGGAGAAAATAATGACTTTAAATAGCCTGCAAAGGGTTGATAAGCTGTAGAAAACCAATCTATCAATCTCTCTCTCTCCCCGCCATATATATATATATATATATATATATATATATATATATATATATATGACTCTCCTGTCATGTTCAATGTATTAGGGTCAAGCAGCTCAGTTGCTAGGGACCAAAAAGCCCAACCCAAGGACACAAGATTTGATTATAGTGGTGAATGTTTTGTGCAGAACCATCCACACTTTTTGAAGGGCTGAATACAGAGACCTGGTGCCCTACATGCCAAAAGTTCCCCAAGCGACCCTCTGCAGGTTTTGAATTCAGAGTTGTCCTTCTCCTAGACCAGTTGCCATCCAAGGCTATAGAACCCAGTCTGTCCTGCTGTTTATCTATAGCTGGAGGGAGAAGAAGAGGATCCATACCATTCCCAATGGTATTAGCATGTAAGCCAATGTAATGGATTCAACTGGAATTCAAACTCAGCTCTCTGATTCCTCAATCCAAGCCGTTATCCATTACTCCACTGTACCTCCACATATATATATGTATCACATATATATATATATATATATATATATATATATATATATATATATATATATATATATATATATATATATATAAATACTAACCTAACCTGAACAAAATAAACTATGAAATCTCCACAAATATCCTTAAATGACTATAATTTATAACAGAAGCCATTGGTTTATACCAATGGCTTCCCATACTTAATACTTCTCGTTTTTCACTCTTGTGTGGTCATGTGTGATGTCATGAGCTGCGACGGGATTTTCCTTTCTGCGCATCATATATACGAGTTTGTCCTTACTTGGAAATTTTCATGCAGCAAGGGCGGACTATCATTGTTGTTTTGTCTGTTGTTTGATTTGTTGAAATTGTCATCTTTGATAATGGCTTGTGTAAGTCGAAAGCTTAGATTGGATTCAAACATATATCAATATGGTGTTTTTCTTTCGTCTTTCAATGATAATGTGATAAAGCTTATCAGACAATATGAAAGGAACTTACTTGAAATAAATAGACAAAACTTGTCTATATTATTCAATGAAACATGCATTAATGAAAAATTGCTGCCTAAATATACACAATATAGATATATATATATATATATATATATATAATATTCAATAAATCAAGAAAAGTTCAAGCAATTTATCTGGTTCATTGACTTTAGAAATAAAAAATAAATACATAAAAGTTAAGATATAAATAAATTTAAAAAAATTTATATGTGTTCATATACATGTATAGGTCAGTATTTATATATAAAAACAAATTAACTGATTCAAAATTTAAATCATGTAACATTTCTAATGAAAGTTTAGAATGTTAAATAATTTCAAATTTGAAAGTTAGAAAATCTCTGCTTTTGGCTTCAGTCAAGGAAGTCCTCAATCCAACAATGCAACAATATACTGGTATTGGCTGCATACATAGCTACAGGGCCCTGTCTACCCCATTGTGCTAGATGGTTCAACAAGACGGTTCATCCAATTTTTGACATGTGTCTTGGATGTGTCTTGGATGTGTACCAATATCTGATTCTCTGTAAATGATCTTCCAGTTCATGCAGAGACATTGTCAACCCATTTTTGCCTCTGACTGTCTCTTCTTCCATTGCTTAAGGTTGGTACCATAGGATAGCAGAGAAAAGATTGTTGGCTCTTATGATATGACTTAAAATGACTAAGGTGTGTCTGATGTAGGGAAGAATTGTGTTTCCCTGAATGATTGACCATTTGAAAAAGCAGTCCCTCAACTTAGATGGCATCATTACTAGATTTGCATGATGATTGTTACACTAATTTGCATGAGAATAGTGATGCTTGGTCATCAACAAATCTCAGCCAATCTGTAATGGTCACTACGGCTATATAAGAGTGAAGCTTGTTAGATTCAGTTTGGTGGTTTTATCGATCTCGTCAGTTGAGAAAGCACTAGATAGTGCTAGATTGTTGATCTAACAAGAAGGCTCATCCACCTTTTGATATGCTGAGTGTCTAGCCACCTTCCTCACTAGAAAAGCATGTGTCTTGGAGGTATGCCAATATCTGATTCTCTGTAAATACTCTTCCAGTTCAGTCAGTGACATTTTCAGCCCATTTTTGCCTCTTCCTTTGCTTAAAGTGTTACCTTGGAGGATAGCACAGGAATGGTAGGATGGCTCTTATGACATGTTCATATCATTTCAGCTCTCTTTTTGACAGTGCTTATGAGGTCTTCCATACCTCTCTTACCTGTTTAATGGTGTCTCTCACTACATCATTTGTGATGTGGCCTATCTAGGAGACATCTACAATGGTTCTGGATGGATTCTTCACTGTAGTTCTGTCTTTAATGTCCAAGATTTGCAAGCATACAGAAAGACTGAGAAAACTAATGCATGCAAAAACCCGATCTTTGATTTCACTCAGAAGTTCTGGCCGCCTGTCCAGTTGGGAAAGCACTACTCAGATTTGCAGCTACTTGGATTTGTGTCTACTAGCACCTGTTTGTTCTTTTTTGGCCACATAACTAATCACATTTTTTTTGGGGGGGGGGTTTCTATTCAGTCAGTTTAATGACAATTCAAATCTTCCATGTTTACCTTCTATATTTGTGTGTGTTGAATTTCGTGTAGCTGAGAGATTTGGAATAAAAAGATGTCAATAAGTTTATAGGTTTATGTCTAATTTAACCAATTTTCAGGACAATTTGGTTAAATAAGAGATTAACTCTCAGGATATGGCATGTAAGACTGAGATTCATAGAAAATGATTTCTTTATTCCAATTCCATGCTGCCATAATGGACAAAGAATTCATGGAACATTTATTGTTTTGATTTTCTAATAAGGATTTTTAATATTATTTCTTTCTTTCAGGTGACTTGAGACAAATTTATTCTAAACAATTGCTACATTAATAAAAATTATTGTCAACTAAATGAGACTAGGAAACAGTTCAAATTTTGGTTGGGATTTTATATACAACTTTCATATATTGCTCCTACAAATCTAGTCTGATGTTTCTGCTATGTATCTAGAGATTCTTGACAAAATTCTCAGAACTTGCAATCTTATCAATCCTGACCTGGCATCTTGGCCTCTATCATTTTCCCACCACCATACAGCTTCACTGTACCTTTTCTATAAATACTTTCATGGCAATTGTTCTGATGAGCTTTCATGGCAATTGTTCTGATGAGCTTTCTTCTTTGGCATCTCAACTTCATGAATTTAAGTGTAATACTAGATTGGCAGATAGGTCTCATCATTTTACTGTTGAAATTGGTAGATATAACAATGAGCTCTATTCTAATAGTTTCTTCACTCACACTTCTCACCTGAGGAACTCTTTTCTGGCTCCTTGATTTCCTGTCAACTACAATCTTCAAAAATTTAAATGCAATGTCAATCATCACCTGTCTCCTTCAATTCTGTTTTTTTGTTCTCCTTTTTCTTCAGCATTTTCTCAATTTCTTTCACTCTCAATAACTTCTGTGTCTTGGTGACTTTATCACCTTGCTGTGGGTGAAATGATTATAAAAATAGAAAAAATATTACCTCTTGTAACACACGTGAATTCAAACCTCCTTGCAATCTACAATCTCACTAGTCATGTTCAATTTATTTTTTTGTCATTAACCTTCCATAATAGCAAACAGCTGAAGATATCTTCCATACTGCTGGTACCATATAAATCTGTTGTAACCTAGAAAGGGTTACTAAAGGAGGCAGAACCAAAATGGAGGTTGGAAATGAAATGGTAATCTTTATAACATGAACAAAATACAATACTCGCCAGCAGCGTGAAGCTGGTAAACCACTGTTAGTGGTCGGACTACTTAGACAGCATATTACCCCCACTTACAATGGTGTCCAACATATTTATGAGGACTGGGACATACTCATTAGTGTTCATAGGTATGGTATATAACAAAATCATTATTATCTGTCATATAATACTTAAAGAGAATATTTACATGACCAAATAAATCTCTATATTGAATGATATAACTAGAGCCTAGTACTTCTGATTACATCAGTGGTCAGGGGGCAGACTCAAACAACAATGATAATTTTATTAGTCAATATTGTTTGCCATATGATGTCAATAATATGTTTTATTATTAATTTATATGGGATGTGCGGATGGTGCAATGTATAGCGGCTTGAAACAAGAAATCAGAGTGCTGAGTTTGAATTCCAGTCAAGTTTGTTACATTGACTTATGATTGCTTTGATGTAGCATAATGGTTAGCAAAATTGTCTCACTAGATCAATTATGAATGAATAGCGTGATTGATCCACACTAGTTGCCCCATATTTTCGGTCTTGTACCAACTCTAAGCTACACTTAGGCAATCATCATAGGATACCTTGACATGGTGTAATGGTTAGCAAGCTTGTCATTGTAAGATCAATTACAAATGAATAGTGAGTCTAATCCTCACTGTGTGCTTCATACTTTTAGCTTTGTGCCACATCTGAGCTACACTTAGAAAAATCACCATTACATTCACTTAGGTTCAGATTCCCTTGGGAATGGTATGAACCCATCTCCTCCCTCAGCTATGGGTTAAATAGAGGAACTTATATATGGAAAAATCATTGTTATTCTCAAAAAATTGTTCATGCAATATTCACTTTAAAAAAAAAAAGAATTATTCTTACAATCCAAAATAAATTTTGACTTTAAATAACCCAAAAAGGGTTGATAAACCATAAGAAAACAAATCAATTAAATCAGATCATATTAAATTAAATGAATAAAAAAAATGTCAAAAATGCTGGAGATTTTTTATTAGTCTATTATGTTATCTTCATAAATTGGTATAATTTCTCATTTTTGCATAAAGACAATTTTTTGTTTCCTACTAGATGAGCTTAATTTCGGCTTTTGTCTTTACAGGTCATTTGGTGTTCTGATGTGGGAAGTCATAACCTACGGCCAACAGCCATATCCAGCCAGGTCAAACATTGAAGTATTACACTTTGTCCGCACAGGAGGCATACTGGACCGTCCAGAGAATTGCCCAGAATATTTGTAAGAATCCATCTCTTATTTTTGAATCCATCTCTTTTTGAATCCATCTCTTATTTCAGAATCCATCTCTTATTTCAGAATCCATCTCTTTTTGAATCCATCTCTTTTTGAATCCATCTCTTATTTCAGAATCCATCTCTTTTTGAATCCATCTCTTTTTGAATCCATCTCTTTCGGAATCCATCTCTTTCGGAATCCATCTCTTAATGTTTTCTGTTTTTCCACAAACGTTTTGACTACCTTTTATAAGTGTAAAGATATTTATTGCTATGTTGCCATAATGTTGCTTTCATTATTGGATCTTGTTTTAATTTCTTTTCTTCTTGCTTCTGCAGATATCAATTAAAACTGAAGTGTTGGAGTTATGTCCCTGAAGATCGGCCAACTTCATGCTTTATCCTGGAGCAGCTGGAGACGTTCTATCAAAGACTGTTGGAAGAATCAACACAGAATAAAAATGCTACAAGTAAGTAACAAAAATTTTATCAATATTTTGGTTCTTTTTTGCTTTTTTTGCTTTTTTTAGTCAAGCTTTCATACTTCTGTCTCTTTTTATTCTCATTCTCTGTTACCCTTTTTTTAAAAAAAAACATTGTTAATTTATTTTGTCATTAATAAAAATCTTGCATCTTTTAAAATGCATTTAATCAATTTTATCCTGTTTTAATAGACTTTCTTCTGAAAAGAAGTCTTAGTTCCAAGTAAATTAATTTTAAAAAAATATTTTTTAAATCAGTGAATTGATTTTTTTTAAATATTTCTATTCTTATAAACTTAAAAATAAACTTATTTATTCTAAAATTATCTTTTTTATTATAAATTTAAATCATATTTTTCTATATTTTAAATTTAAATTATATTTTTTATTATCGTAATTTAAATTATATATTTTATTATTTTAAATTTAGATCATATTTTTTATTAGTATAATTTAAATTATATTTTTTTAATATTATAAACTTAAATTATATATTTCTTTATTATTATGAACATTAGGTTTGCCAAGTTTACTAAATAAAAATACAAGGCACCCTGTTCAAATTTAAATTTCAGTGATTTCTAATTTGCATATGTAAATTGAAATAAAATATTTACATCATGGGACAAACTTATATACTAAAAAATAGCATTAAAAATCATTTGAATTTAAGTTTGACCAAGGTGTGCAATATTTATATTTATCAAACCTGACACCCTAATAAATTTAAATTATATTTTTTATTGTTATAAACTTAAATTTATGAAGTTGTGTAAAATTGTCATAATTCCTGTTGCATGAAAAGGGTTTTTGGCTGATACAAAATCTTAGATGTGTCAACAATACATTACCTTTTACTTGTTAAATTTGTCATGGTAATTTGCTGGTTTAGGAAAGAGGTTTATTTTATTTCTTCAATGAAGTATAAACATATTAAGCTTTTTAAGAAACCAATTGATACAGAGAGTAAAATAGTTTTTAATAGTAGAGTTAAAAATTATGGTTAAAATATTTCAGGTAAAGACAGTTGAACTGGTGATTTTTATGTCAATGGTTGCTTCAGTGCCTCTAAACAAAATGATATAATATATTGCACATCTGTAGGCCTAGGGAAAGACAACTGGACATCTGTTCAGCCTATCCTAAATGACTGTACCGTAATAACATGAATAGAATATAATTAACCACTAAATAAATTCTACATCATTTATCCAAACAAGGAATGCAGTGTTCTGTAAAGGCTGACTATTGCTTGCTTTACACATGTTTAATGTGGTAGATTCTGTCCAGCTTGAGATATCTATCAAAGAATTTTACCTTTTATTGTCCAATATTGGAACATATTTTAAGACATATTTTCTTGAGACCAGATGAGCATTAATTTTTATATTTTATCAATAACATAAACAGAAAAGATTAAAATACAGTAGGTGCTTACATATTCTGTTAAACTACAATTAAGTGTTGTCTGGTATCAAAAATGTATATCTTAAAATATGTTCCCCTAGCAAAACAATGGACACTAAAAGTTTAAATTCAATATTACTTTTGAAGTATTTAATATTAGATTTATATTTTTTTTACATGGCAAAGATGAAAATAAGATTATAAAAAAATTACCTTATTTTTTGTTTTGTGATTCTAAAAATATTAGGTCTAATATATTTGGTTTTGTTATTTCCTGGATAAGTGACCAGAAAGGTTTGGCTTAAATTCATGGCTACTCTCCTGCATAATAAGGAATATACTTTTCAATTTATCTTACTAGAAGATTGATTTTATATATACACACACACACACACACACACATATATATATATATATATATATATATATATGTATGTATGTATGTATGTATGTGTGTGTATGTATGTATATATATATATATATAGGCATAGTGGATAGTGGCTTGGATTGAGGAATCGGAGAGCCAAGTTTGAATGCCAGTTGAATCCATTACATTCACTTACGTGCTAATACCCTTGGGAAAGGTATTAATCCCCTTCTCCCTCCAGCTATGGGTAAATAGCAGGGCAGACTGGGTTCTATAGCCTTGGATGGCAATTGGTCTAGGAGAAGGACAACTCTGAATTCAAAAATGGCAGAAGGTTGTTTGGGGACCTTGTGGCATGTAGTATATGGTATATATGTCAATATTTCAATTATACAACAATCAGTTTTCAATCAGTGTTGTGCAGAAAACTCAGAGTTTTGTTACTGGTGAGCAAAAAATGTATATTTATTATTAATATAAATAATTATAGCTCTGTTATTATATATTGAATACTATTTTTTTAGCACAAGCATTCAATGTATTATATATATATATATATATATATATATATATATATATATATATATATATATATATATATATATATATCTATCTTTTAAGACATTTTTATGTTTATACATTCTTTTTATAGATACAAATATTTAAGTAAATGCTCTGTTTTGTAATAAACAGTATTATAACATTACCGACCTGAATGTCTGAGAGAAATTTTCACAGAAAATATTCGTCCTCCGACAGGAATCGAACCTGTATCCTATACGGAACCATCATTTAGTCTGATGTGCCTTAACCAATCAAGCCACGGAGGATTGTTCGATTAGCAGGGTCAATTTTACTGTTTTTAAACTTCAAGCTTCCATGAATCTCTCATGTACATTCATATCTGCCCAAAGCGTATCCAGATATAAACAAATGACGTCACACATTATGAAATGGACAAAGTCCAACAATTATTTTAAGATATTTTTATTATAAAACAGAGCATTTACTTAAATATTTGGATGTATAAAAAGAATGTATAAACATAAAAATGTCTTAAAATAATTGTTGGACTATGTCCATTTCACATATATATATATATATATATATATATATATAGACTCTCCCATCATATTCAAAATATGAGGGTCAAGCAGCTCAGTTATGTGGTGGTGTCTGGGCTGTAGGTTCCTAGGAACTGAGCTGCTTGACTCTCATATGTCCAATACAATGGGAAAGTCCACCATATATATATATATATATATATATATATATATATATATATATATATATATATATATATTATATAATATTGCACATTGAGTGCTGGTGCACTATAGAGCAAAATAGTGCTCACTATATAATAACAGAGCTATAATTATTTTTATTAATAATATATATACATTTTTTCTCCCCAGTAGCAAAACTGAGTTTTATGCACAATACTGATTGAAAACTGACTGTTGCATAATTGAAATATTGACATATATTAAAATGATAGTGGAGCAATTCATTTTATTTACAGGAGGCAGGGTCTAAAATATAAATTGATATTTTCTTTGTTTCCTTAATTTGTTGCAAAGATGCCATCAAAGAGAGAAAATTAAGCCCAACAACTTTATAGAGGCAAGTAATCCTTGGTCTTTAGTCTGGATAAAGGGTGTACATGATATTCATATGCAATAGTTCTATAAAGGCTGAGTTTTTCCTGCTTTTCATATGTTTTATGTGGTAAATTCTATCAAGCTTATTAAGACATTTATTAAATAATTTGGTACCCCTTGTTCTACTAATGGAACATATTTCAAAACATATTTTTTTTTTATACCAGATGAGCATTAATTCTATTTTAACACAATGCATAAGAATATTTTGTATTTCAGTCTTTTCTGTGTATATTGATAAAATAATCAAAATTAATGCTCAGCTGATATCAAGAAAATATGTTTTAAAATATGCTCCACTAGTGAAACAATGGTATGAGAAATATTTGTTTAATTGATGTTTGTAATTGCTTTAAAGATTTTAGATATGTATAATTAGTGGATCGAAGGTGTATTCCCTGGTCATCCAGCTAAGTGAATAATCCTGTATGGGTCTGGAACAATAGATGCTGAAAAAAAAAGGAATCAGTGGTATGCCATTATGTTATACACAAGGAAATACACCAGGTGCAAGAATAGGCTTTTACTTTTTGCCATTGATCTGTTATCATTCTGAACTTGAATCTTTTGTTTGTTTGCATCTTGAAGGTTGTGCAGGTGGTGTCAGTCGATAAAGGCTCAAAATGAGAAATCAGAGATCCAAGTTCAAATTCCAGTCGAGTTACTTCATTCACTTATGTGCAATTAGTTTTGGAAACGGTACAAATTCAATTCTTTCCTCTCAGCTTTGGGTTAAATAGTAGGACTTGTATCTGAAAAAAAAAACAAACATTATTATCACCAAAATATTGGTAATGCACTCATATTAATAACATAATGCAACCAGCACTTGAAACAAAAATTAATGTAAACATTTTCGTTTAGTGACTAAAGCAGTACCTACCAAATTTGTTAATCATAAGTAACATATTAAGGATACTAATAATCATAGTAGCAATAAAAAAAATTATAAATAATAATAAAAGTAGCAGTACTATATGAAAATAATATCTGTAAAAGTTGTTCTAGAGAAGGATGCTGAGGATCCATGGACTGAATATGTGAGAAATAACAAAGTTTTTTTGGAAAATGGAAGCAAAATGGACACTTAGAATCAGAAAGAGACAGTTGAAATTTTTCAGGTACATAATGAGGAAAGAGGGCTTGGAGAATTTGACACTCACAGGATATATTGAAGGCAAAAGGAAAAAAGGGAAGCTGTGAATGATCTACCTAATGAACTTGTGTAAATGATTGGCAGAACAGGGATTTAGAGAGAGAAAAAAAAACTTACTAAGAACTACAAAGATCAGGAAGTTATGGAGAGCCATAATCATCCATGTCTTGAAGATACATGACACAGAGAAGAAGAAGTAAAAATATTAAATAGTAATAATAATTTTTGTAGTAGCAATATTAATAATGTCTAAAGTAAAAATAGTAATGTGTAATTGTGATATTAAAATAATATAGTAGCAATATTAAATTATAATATAATATATATAGTAATGATATAATAATATAATAATAATAATAATAATATTTATATTAGTAATATTAAATAATATATG